TCAGCGGGACTATTATATAGCGAAGAAGAAGTATAAAGTTGGTCATACACACACCGTGACCAGGAACTTCGTTAGATAAATACCAGGTTTCCAGTTTACTACTAACACAAGAAGCTAGTAAGATAATTCCTGTATGGGAAGACAGAAACAAAGAAAAAAAACAAAGAATATGAATTTGAATAGATCCCTAATCGAAGGGGCGACATGGCGAAAACAATTAATAAACGATGCCTGGTGAACATATGTCGTGAATTTATTTCATCAAACATGCGGCTTAGAAAAGTTCCTGGGTTTCACGATATTCATTTGATATATATATTTGAAAAAAAGAATAATCCGACATTCCGTTATACACTAGCGCTTTCGCTTCAAAGATGAAAAGAGCCAACTAGTGTATAACGGAATGTCGGATTATTCTTTTTTTAAATATTATATCAAATGAATATCGTGAAACCCAGGAACTTTTCTTAGCCGCATGTTTGATGAAATAAATTCACGACATATGTTCACCAGGCATCGTTTATTAATTGTTTTCGCCATGTCGCCCCTTCGATTAGGGATCTATTCAAATTCATATTCTTAGATTTTTTTCTTTGTTTCTTGTTTACAGGAATTATCTTACATCTTCTTGTGTTAGTAGTAAACTGAAAACCTGGTATTTATCTAACGAAGTTCCTGGTCACGGTGTGTGTATGACCAACTTTATACTTCTTCTTCGCTATATAATAGTCCCGCTGACTATGAATGACATTAATTATCCACGAATTGCATTACTATTCTACGAATAGCCAGGTAATAGTGGTAAGCGTGCATCGAAATCCGACACACACTTCCCAATATCATCGTTAATAGCATTAATTATTGTAACACCGAAGCGGAGTTTGTTTTTAAACACGCCACGTTGTTGCGCGGGGCGCTTTGATCATCGCAAAAACATGATCTACGCGGTTGTGATTGGCTGATGACGAGATGGGGAGAGCTGATCTAAATATTTTAGTTGTTACTCGCTGTCGTTCGACGTTACCGCGCCAGTGTGTGTCACCGCTCGTCGGAAACAATGGATTCGAATGTTTTAAAATGTATATCCGGAAGTTATTCACTGGCGGGTCTTTCATGGTTACAACATTGAGCGAGGATAGCAACTGCTATAGTGATTTTTGCTTGAAGAACCAGGTTTAAAAAAAACCGTATTCGTGTATCCTCTCGTGTTGACATACTCTCTTTACAACATCTCGTTGTAAATCATCCTAAAAAATAAACACGTTCTAAAATGCAAACAGGTGCAAGGATGCTCCACTGCGCAGTCAATGGCGCTTCGATCGCACACTACACTACACGTCGATATGTGAATAGCGTTGCGCTTTGTCTCTTTCTTAGTCTCTCACAGAACGAAACGGACAGACATTTAATCATATATTCCATGGCTATAATAATTATTCTTGATTTTTAGTACTCTTGATTCTAATATACTATTAAGACTAATTACATATAACTTTAAATTTTTTACAAATATAACGTGTGCGTGGGGTAAAAAAAGTATTCCGCTCGTGTCACCCTTCTCTCCTGCTACAGGGCTATATACCCCACTGCTATATACCCGCACTGCTGCGAAACGTGAGGAAAGGATTCACTACTGTTTCTTCAG